GTCTAGGCTTTTTTTTTGTGTTTCTAAATTTCTTGTCGTGTGTCGTAGCAAAATAAATGGTTTTTCTTTCTTTCTTTCTTTTTTGATGATGGAGGGAAGACTTTAAAAGGCGCCTAGTTTTTTCGAGTGAAAGGTTAGAAAGTTTTTACCTCACTAAAACCACCCCGCCACCCACAACGCCTGTAAGGTGCACCGAGTAAATAAAAGGTGTCTAGAAACTATACAGTTACTTGCTAAAATATGGATACCAGTAAAGTTTGCTCAGTTGAATCGAAGAAGGTATTTAATAGTAATTTTACTTTATTATTATTGACTGCCTCGTTGGCCGAGTGGTCGCAAGTGCGACTACCGGGCAAGGGGTCTCGGGTTCGATTCCCGGGTCGGGTAAAGTATTACTGGGTTAAAAAAAAACTCGGTAGTAGCACGGAGTCTGGAAATATGCCCGGTATATGCTCACCCCCTATTACATGGGACTCATAACATTAATAGTGAAAAGTGGGTGTTACTTCTATGTGCACCTCTGCCTACCCCTTCGGGAATAAAAGGCGTGATGTTATGTTATGTTATGTGTTTATTATTATAAAAATATGAATCCTAAATAACTCAGAACACTATTATAAAACCAACCTGGCCACATTGGCTACATTGTAGGTGTTTATTTGATTATGGGTGCCTACTAAGTTACGTAGAGCAACGAATTACAGTACGTCAGCGTTAAGTTGAAATGATTACAAGTAGCACAGGCGCTTTACATTTGTATTATAAAGCGCCTTTGACGTGATTTTATTCTTAATCTCATTATAGTGTCTTAGAGAATTTGTGTTTTTTCTGCGGTAAGGAGTTTAACAAGAGGTATGGTATTGTCAACTATGGTTCTTATCAAATATGTTTTGTTTTTCATATTATCCATGTTTACCATAACATTACAGGCGAGTTGGAATACGCACTTTAAGAGATTCCGGTTTATCAGAAAGTTTTGCTCCCGGAAATCGGAAAGTTTGAGTGCCTCTTTGGCCGAGTGGTCGTAAGTGTGACTGCCGGGTAAGGGGTCTCGGGTTCGTTTTTAAATATCCTCAGTAGTAGCACTGAGTCTGGAATTGTGCCCGGTGTATGACAATAGGCTCACCCCCTATTATATAGGACTCATAACATAAATAATGAAAAGTGGGCGTTACATTGTACAGTGGTATAATGTGCACCTCTGCCTACCCCTTCGGGGATAAAAGGCGTGATGTTATGTTATGTTTTGCTCCCTCATCTCTGTCAAATGGCTTCGGTAAGTTATGGACATTTTTCATCTTTTCGCATCGTCTACAAGATGAATTTATTTGAATAAAACGGTACAAATACCAATTACACTACTTAATACAATACAATAATAAGAAAAATACGCTGGACGGCACCTAACGCCGGACACTTGTATTATCTCAATAACTAATAACGCGAGCAACTCAATTTTTAGGCGAAAGTCTCCCAGTGGCAGACACTTAAGATTTTTAGTAAAAATTTAATAGCTCGTGTTTTCAGTTATCGAGATATTACAGGTGTCCGGCGTTAGGTTCTGTCTTCGGACTTCCCTCTAATTATTTTTAGATTAAAAGTACATTGTCTATGAAATCTTATCTTATCTTTTTTTATAGCATAAACCGGTAAACGAGCAGACGGATCACCTGATGGTAAGCAATCGGCGCTGCCCAGGACACTCGAAACACCAAGGCGTTACAAGTGCGTTACCGGGCTTTTGGGAATTGGGAATTTGAGGATTGTGGAGGATTCGGGGATTCGGAAGACGGGGACTAGGGAGGTGGGTAATTGGGCCGCCGGTAACCTCACTCACACGACGAAACACAACGCAAGCGTTGTTTCACGTCGGTTTTCTGTGAGGCCGTGGTATCACTCCGGTCGAGCCAGCCCATTCGTGCCCGAGCATGGCTCTCCCACACTTAAAATCTATTAAGTATTTGAAATGGAAACAAATGTACATTATTTTTATACGTCGTTAGAAATTAGTGAATTAACATAGTTATCCCGATTGAGGCTCGGAGAGGAGCAGGAGTTGATGTGGGCTCGTTTAAGCCTGACACTCCCTCGCGCGTCGCCTAAGACGGTAGGAGACATTTGATGATTTTCTTCCCTCAAAAAATATTACAATGGTGATAAAAGCAATGGAATATTTAAAAGAATTTTTCCCACATCGATAAATTATTCACTCAAGTGTTACATTTAATAAAATTGTGTTTACATATATCTATAATCTACCTAGTTACGCAAAACCTGGATATCCCTATCACTTTGCGGTTTTTACAACAATAATCTGACATTCTTGTTTACTTCGCTTCGATGTTACTGAGAAAAATGATAATAATCATATAACAAGAACTAGGTATCGGTGATGCAATTAACTATGAGATCAGGGCAAATACCTGATTGCAAGAATGAGCTACATTATCTACAGGAAACAGATTTTTTGTTTGTTTGTAGGCATTCAAAATAGTAATTTTTCCATTGTGTGTATCTGCCAGAACTTATTAGATTTCCATAAATTGTCTATTCCTTAAAATTCTCACCTCTAATCTGACATTCTTGTTTACTTCGCTTCGATGTTACTGAGAAAAATGATAATAATCATATAACAAGAACTAGGTATCGGTGATGCAATTAACTATGAGATCAGGGCAAATACCTGATTGCAAGAATGAGCTACATTATCTACAGGAAACAGATTTTTTGTTTGTTTGTAGGCATTCAAAATAGTAATTTTTCCATTGTGTGTATCTGCCAGAACTTATTAGATTTCCATAAATTGTCTATTCCTTAAAATTCTCACCTCTAATTTCGAATGTAAATGGAAACTTTTAATAAATTAACATTAAATTATCAAAATTATGATTATTTACTCGATTTTTAATCGCTTGGGAACGTAATATAGAAACCATTTTACGTGTCGATTTTTAAAAACAATGCTAAATTTAAAAATGAAATCTTTAAAACGAGTTTACTGGCTGTCTATAAAAATAAAAGGCGGATTCACGCAGAAGGCCGCGTGAGTAATGAGGCTGGACAGTATTTAACATTTTCAAGTAAGTAGTGACCCTTTACCACTATAGCCATTATAAAAAATATTTTGTATGAGTAGGTACCTATATATTTTTTTAAAACTGCTTTATGTCGAGAAGTCAGTCTAGAAGTATGAAATCTGGGATTTTCACATTTTGATCACAATTTAGATGTAGTCTGGGATCACAGAAGTTTGTAATACGGCCGGCAAAACAACATTGTATATCATCCGTATTTTTCCTACATTTAGATCAGCTGTATCTTGCTATCAAGTACGTAGATTTGTTCGCTTTTTTCAGTAGGTAATGGCGCAGTCTGGAATCCTAAACGATGTATTCCGCGTAACTATGTCGATGGGGTCACCTTCTATTTCATGGGATCAAAAAAAAAAAGATGGAATGGATATATAGTCGTAACATAGTATACAGTATGCCACGGCTCATTAGCCAGCCTTTTTAGGGGGAAGGGGGATCATCGAATGACTTCTCCCGCCTGGGTGAGGCGAGAGGGAATGTCAGACTCTTACTGACTAAAAACCACCCCGTTCCTGCTTCGCAGTTCGAATTGGAGCCCCGGCAACTATTTACGTTCTCCATCAGCCAGTCTTCGGGGATTAAAAGACATGACGTTTCCATTTTTCTTAAAAAAAACACCAATGTCTATATTTCATGTTAAAGTATCATCAAGATACTAAGTGATTACAAGTTCATTGCTAATCATTCTCTTACAGATCATTCTTAAGTGTGCCAATTATGTAATTACAGGTTATCAATCATTATATAATGGTTATCTCACATCACAGAGTTATATCGATTAGCCGAGGTGATGAATGGGTGTAAAGTCAGTTATTAGGTACAGGAAATAGGTATTAATAAAATTATGTTTGTACTTTGTCTTTGTCTGTGTTATTATGTAACACATGGAACTATTTTGTGAAAGATGAACATTATTATTTACGTATGTGTAATGTGTATTCGTACCTACAAGATCCCCACAAACTTTCCTATTTATGTTTTTAGTAGAATGTTTAAAAATAAATTAGAACAACTTGTCTTGTAGTTGTCTTTACAAGGGGCAGTTGACCAACTTTAATCATTAATGTACAATTTACCCGACTTGGAAAATTGTTCAAATTCGTAACTACGATTGAATACTTAGTAGTAATTAGTAATTTATTATGATTATTTTATTCCATCCAAAGGTTGTCTTAAAGAAATCGCCGCGTGTGATAATACCGCCCATTGTACTCAAATTTCTATTGCAATGTTAACATATTTTTCCTGTGGGTACAATAAAATATAATATATTATTTACCAATGTCAATTAAATCATAGTGAATATAATAATAGTAAATAGTTCACAGAAATAGTTCAAATTCAAATAAAACAGAAGAATAATAAAAATAACTGTATTTCAATTATTTTATTACTTAGGTATAAAAAGTACAAGGATTCATGTAACAATAGATAGGAAATCGTTTGGTTGACAGAATTGAACTATAAATACATACCTGATTATATAGGCAAACTAATTACCTTTATATCAATAAACAATACAACAAATAGTTCTATAAATATTTTCATATACAGTCCAGTCATTAAATTCTTAAAAAATGTTTACAAAAATTCTGCATCTTTAGTACAAAAAGTTAAAAGAAATAAAATGAATATGTCCAACACTCAAAAGTAAACCTTCTCTAAATTGTAGCAAGTATCAAATTTCAATATTACTGAAATATATCAGAACGACATAAAAAACACATTTGAATACATTTAAAAATAGATCTACTCACAATAGTGTTAAGGTTTCTATCTGTAATTACATGGATACCAAGTAATTAAAGCCATTTGGTGTCTAGCGAGTAATAATCGTCCTGTCACCTATGATCACAGCTTGTTCAATGCACTTCGAAACACTCTGTTATTTCACTGAGAACGACGAAGTTAACGTTTTCTGTAAAAAAGAGAATAAAAATGAATCTTAATTGTACAGTACAAACAAACAAAGAGATTGAGAGAGTAATATTAGAATTGGGTAGTTTACAGGGTATCAAAATTAAAAATGTTTACATAATGAAAACATATTTGACACGTATTTTTTTATTTTCTCGTATTACATTGCAATACTTAGATAAAATGGCGCAAAGTCGACCTCCCTGTTACGTCATAACGTGCTACAAAATGTGACACGCTGTGACATCACACGATATTTCAAATAAATATATCGTCGAAAGTGTTTATTAAATTTGCGATAAAAGAAAAAATACGTGTCTAAAGTTTTAAATTAATATACCAGACAGACAATAAAATAAGATTTAGGAAACTACCCTATTGGTGGCAAAAAGTTCAAGTGCGCGTAGTTTAAACTTATACGTACTTAAAATTATAAACTTTTCATATGTATTCACTTTTTAAACAAGTAATCTTTCTTTAGAGACTTAGACTCTCTAGCTATTTAATCTTTGCCCCATCTTTATGCGTTAAGATGGACCTAAAACTTTACGACTAAGATAAACCTAAAAGTTCTTATCAGTTATCATTAAACTATAACTCATATGATAGAGAATTTAGAAAAAATCAATAACATTTTTTTATGTTATAAGCCGGTAAACGAGTCGACGGATCACCTGATAGTGAGCAATCGTCGGCGCCCATGGACACCCGAAACACCAATGCGTTTCAAGTGCGTTACCGGCCTTTTGGGAATTGGGAATTTGAGGATTGTGCAGGATTCGGGAATTGGGGAGACTGTGGAGGGGGGATAATTGGGCTTCTGGTAACCTCACTTACACGACGATATAACATGTAACATGTATTATACCCAAGGGATTCAAACCCAAGATCCATCAGCAAGTCTCATAAACTTTATGAGTTGACGCACAAGACCAGACTAACAAGATAACTGAATGACATCATTGCAAACTTTACAAATTACTTGATTGCAGGTTGTTTAAAGTTATCTCGAAGTTTTTGCTATAATTCATCATTATTTAATTTAAACTCCTAATTATGTTATATAGAGTCACAAAGAGCATTTCGAATGCCATTTCCTGCGTAAGGACAAATTATTTATAAGTCTTTGACATTTGTTGCATGATTTTGTAGTTATCTATGCGACTACGTTCACATTTTACAGAATTGCATCAATAACTTCACTATATATTCTAGCAATGTTTAAGTTCAAGTAAGTCAGCTTACCCATAACCACCGCCGCCTGCAGTAGCAGTAGCAGTAGCGGTAGCGGTAGCGGTAGCGGTGGCAGTGCCACTACTGTAGCCTCCGTTGCCACCACATCCGCCTCCGCAACCACCGCCGCCATGACCGTAGTTAGGTTGGTAGCCGCCGCCATGACCACCGCCGCCGCCGTAGCCACCGCCTCCGCCGTAGCCACCACCTCCACCGTAGCCGCCACCTCCGCCGCCGCCACCGCCGTAGCCAAATCCACCGCCTCCGCCGTAACCACCGCCGCCGCCGTATCCGCCTCCGTAGCCACCTCCGTTACCACCGCCGTATCCACCATCGTAACCGCCGTGGTGATGGTGACCGTGACCTGCACAAAAAATTTTCTTTAGTAAAACAATTTAAGTACAGACCCCAGCTCATCAGAATCTGTCAAAGTTACTCAATAATATATTTTAGAATTTATTCGAAAACATTAAATTTGAATATCTATTGAATATTGACAGACGGAGTAGGTATACCTTCTGGAGTCTGGTCATTGTATTGAAACTGTTTAGAAAAAGGTGTAAGTGTGGTGATGTAAGTAAATTGAATCAATAAAAACTATGTATGTAATCTAACTACAAACACGCATGCTACTTATGTATGTTCATAATTACTACCAAGCATGTTAACATCGACAATCTACGAGTACTTAGTATGAAACTAGTCGTCAACTTCTAGTTTGCTAAATTTAACTACTGATTATTTACTACGCAGGCACAAACATTATTAGAACACAAAACTACAAAGAAAGCGTTCAAAACAGGCATAATTAAAAAGTGTGTGTGCAGAAAGCTGTGCAGTGCATCCGTACCACGATCTTTAACCACTTTAACGACTACAATTTTTTCAGGTGGTTCTTCGTAGCCACCACCATGGCCCCCGCCAAAGCCACCGCCGTAGCCTCCGCCATAGCCTCCGCCATAGCCGCCGCCATAGCCACCGCCTCCGCCGTAGCCACCGCCTCCGCCGTAGCCACCACCGCCGCCGTAAGATTCATCGCCAAAGCCGATGCCTCCTCCTCCGATTGAAAATCCTCCACCGAATGCTAGTCCACCTCCTCCCAGACCTAATAATTTCTTCTTCAGTAGATGGCGCTTCTGTCTGTTCAGGTTTTCAGGTTTGTCCTGGTCTTCGAGTTTCTGTGAACAAATAAACATAATATTTAATAGTTTAGTTGTAGTTAATTTTAAGTTGTAAATATTTATGTAGTTATATAAATTGTGATACCAAAAAAAATATTGATCTTTTTTACTTCGCCTGCATGCCGAGAAATGCTGACTGATATACCTCTATGTATGATTTAATCGCAAAAGTGTGACACCAGTTTGTCCTAGTGATGACTTTATTGTGGGGCTTCTACATTAATGGGTTACCAGGTATATATTCCTGGTAATCTATTAAGTCAAAAATTTTTCTTTCAAGATCCTTACAAAACTCACATAACAACCATTTCATAACATTAAAGTTAAGAAGTCGTTGTCACGATAGGTGGTAAGATTTATTTACTTAACCAGTCAAAATATAAAGCCTGTCGTTCTATAAAGTTTAAATATAAAGCTAACCAACTAAAGGAAAAACAGCATAGGGCTGATTTTTCAATGATCAGTTAATTCTTAACTGTAGAATAAAATTGTCAGTTTTTAGTATGGAAGAATTGTCAAATAATCAAACTATTCCTCAGTTAAAATTTATCTGGCGTTGGAAAAATCGGCCCTAGTGTACCTAATTCTTTAGTTAAGAAAGAGTTTCTGCATTGCATGTAATAGTAGATACTAAGTTATGTTTAGTTTTGTTGTTGATATACCTAATAATAAATTTGTTGTCAATTTACTTGAAACGTATTGTATCTAAGTACTATGTAGTTTATGCAGAACACAATTTATGCAGACATCATAACAAACGTTTATGCTCTGAAATTAGTAGCAACATATGATTAAAGATCACGTTCTTATCCATGCTATCTGTTGGACAATTTAATAAAGACAAATAGGTACCTATGCAAACAATTACGACTTTCATTTAACTAGTTATAACGGATATTGTCGGAAACCTTCCTGATAATATCTTTTATGATAGTAAGTAATGATATTCATATAAATCTATCTTTAAAGAAATGTAGGTACTTATTATAGGTAGGTATATTTTGCAAATTATTTAAAATTAATAAATTCACTAACTGAATAAAATAGGAGCTCATTAATTACTTCATAAAATATGCTCGAATGATTATAGTAAACAAATTATGCGTCTGTATGATTAATTACTTTTCTTCGAAGAGTGTTGAAAGTAAAATGCTAATAAATTACACCATAAGATAAATATCGATAAAAAGTAGCCGCAATTACCTTCACGTAAATTGGTTGCGGGTTGCCTTTTAAGGACTTGGCCTCGGGCTCCAGACGACCATACGATGGGTTCGCCTGAGCAAGTAGCACTAGTATGGGGAACTGCCTTGACCTCGTCGTGTCATGTGTCCTGGAGTCCCTAGGAGGGGCCAACACTGGAGACACGAGCAGCACCCGCTCCCCACCGTCCAAGGAATTGTCTCTGATTGACGGCTCGGCCGTCGCCAGCGCCGTCAGCGCCAACACGCTCACCACCACACTACAGTATCCCATCGCGATCACTGACGCAGGACCAACAAAGCAAACCTATTTATAAGACGCGTTTTTCCTGCGACCGCTCCGACGTCATGGACCGCCTACTGCCGACACTAGTTCGCGGGATCAGTTCGCAGAACGCGCCATTCCCACGATGACGTTGACAATCCGATCATACGGATTGTTTTCAATATGACGTGCTAAATTAATGTTCACGCCATGGCAGATATAATTTGACACATAGAAAATATAAAGATGATGTGCAAGTACGTGTGGTTGAACGAGAAAAACGTGATGTTACACGCCTGCCAATTTGCTGAGTCCATGCACGTATAAAGCTGGTTATTCCCATAAACCGGATGCTCGTCTGTGTGTGTTCGGATACATACATAATAACAGCGAACTGGTTCTTTATGGTTTTTGTGGTGGTAATCTGCCAAGATAGGTCTGTTGTTAAACACGAAGACTTTGATTAAAACGTTACAAACAAGTCCACGTCTTCAGTTGGATAGTTATTAAATTGAATAACAGAATTAATGGACTGACGTAAGCTAAACTTGTCTTGTAGAATATTTAAAATAGATCCACAAAACATCTCAAAAGAAAAAATGAGGCGGAACACCAATCATAAATAAAGATAAATGTATTCACAATCTGAATTCTGAAAGAGTAATTAGAGTTAAACCAAAATAGTTGACATCTTGTGTGGCAGGAATACAGTATCAGTCTATCAGTTGCATTGTTCTAATGTCAAATAACATTCTGTGTAGTGTGTAGGTATGCCCAGTAAACCAAATGTTTGATATTGTGAAGATGTGAATAGCTTTTCTATCTCTCTTAAAATTTATATGATCTCTGTAGCTTAATTAGATATCCGTTAATCTGGCTTATAGTTTTAAAGTTTAAAGCTTTCAAGTTTTAATCAAGCCACATATAATTACTTCTAAATTTAGAATCCATCCACTAAGGCCTATTAAAATTTGAGCAAGTTTTGTTGCACCATACAACAAGCAAAGAGTCTATTGCTGTGCTATTTCTAGTCTCTATACAGATATAGAATAAATTCTGATAGGCGAAGGCGTAGACAGGACAGTAATAAAACCTTTAAGAAAAACTAGATGGAATGACGTATAATTAAACTCATGACGTGCCTCTCTTTACAGTATAAAACTAATCAGAACATAATTGGAAGATCGTGAACCATGAGCAAAAATACCTATGTCCATACAAAGTTGCATGTGAAGCCGCAAAAATCAGGAAAACAATAGAACCTTTTTTTTTAATCGCACTTTCTTGGTATCAGGTATCAAGCACAAATGATAGCCACCAATTACTATTCCTCTTTAATCACTATTAACTCGTCTATAGGTCCAGTGACCCGGAAGTCATTGGAAAATATCATTAACTCGCATATAATTAAGGTTCATTTTTTAAGCTACATCATCGCATCTCATAATTATGCCTTCAGATGTTCAATTACTGAGGAAAAGGTAAATTACCTGACCTTTGGGGGTTATGTGATTGATAAAGAAACCAGTTGTTCTATTAATAAAGTTTTATTTTCAATAACAAGTTTTGTGTCTTGTGACATTTGGTCTATTATATTCTTGGGATGTATGGGTTGCTTACTACTGGAGTCATGTAGTTGTCATCTGTAACAGAAAAAAGAATTAATCGCATCTGGTACTTATATCATAGACTTGTTCATGTGGAACTGAAAAGTCCCGAGTAATGTTATAAAAACCATTTTAATGTCCTACAATACACTATTGCGTTTGAACTGAAATATTAGGTGTGTTATACAGGGTGACTTACAAGTCACAACTCGTCATATGCCTCTCGGGAGGTGATAATACAACTAATTTCCAGGTGATATGGAAAAAAGATTTGGATTACTTTATATTGATTGTAGATAATATATAAAATAATTTCCTACAAAATTAGCCCCGAGGTCTCTGGTCCGAAAGTGGCTGGTTTCTGAGATATTCACCAATTTTAGTTTTTGTCAAAAAACCCAAACTGTCTAAAAAACATCAATAAATAAAAAAGCTACTGGTTTAATTTACATGATTTTTAATTTGTTGTCAATACATCAATAGACAGTTATTTATAGTAGTAGCGACCCGGTCTGGCTTTGGACGGGTGCAATATGCATGCATACATATAACCTTCCTTAAGAATCATTCTATCTGTTAAAAAAACCGCATCAAAATCCGTTGCGTAGTTTTAAAGATCTAAGCATACATAGGGACAGACAGACAGCGGATAGCGACTTTGTTTTATACTATGTAGTGATTAATATTGGATCTAATAACCTATAGGATATATGCCAAAGAGAAATGTTAAATAAGATAGTAAACTAAGACCAGAGCAGAGCTCATAGTAATATGGACCTTAGGATTACATGATTGATATTAATTTAAGTAACTAACGCTATTTCATTGACAAGGATTTGAGGAAGACGTAGATCCTCTGTAAACAATTTTTAACTCCAGATTGTTTCAGATTAGTTGCACATCATTTGCTATTTTATAATCGTATGTCACAGATAGAACTAATGGATCTAAACTACATAACATAACATCGGTAACGCCATTTTATCCCCGAAGGGGTAGGCAGAGGTGCACATTTCGGCACTTAATGCCACTGTACAATGTAACACCCACTTTTCACTATTTATGTTATGAGTCCCATGTAATAGGGGGTGAGCCTATTACCATATACCGGGCACATTTCTAGACCACGTGCTACTACCTACTGAAATTTTAAAAAACCCAGACCCAGACCAGCACTTAGGACCACTCGACCAACGAGGCAGCTAAACTATTACATGTAAAATACATAAAAAATAATATTTAATTCTATCTGAGTTAGATACTCAGCTGCCGTTATCACTAAGAAGTTAAAATTATTAAATTATGTAAAAAACTTGAAATTAAAATAATCCCCGTGTTTTAAATGATTAAAATCAAAACAGTACGATGAGCGGTTCGGTTTTTCCGTCCGTAATGTGTTTATTAATGTTGTATCTTTATTTTATGTTTCTTTAATATTAGGCTTTGATTGTAACTATTTTATAATGTGGCTTTGCTTGTTGTTAATGATAATTTAGTTATTCAGTTTAAGTAAATAAAAAAAAGACGTAGTATACGATGATACGTTTGACAGGATATAAAATGTATGTTCATATCTCTGTCTTTTTTAATTTACTAAATGTAGTCTATGCTACTGAAGTAGTCTTGCCTCTACAATTAGAATAAGATGTGATAAAGTCAGTTTTGCAAATTATTCATAAACACAAAAACTCATTTTAACATTATTACGTTAAGATTTCATTTTCAATGCTAAGGACAAACCAGAATCTAATCCATAATAATATATTTTATTATTTCTCTAAGATAAAACTTAATGGCTACATGACAATATTAAGTTTTATAGGCCTAATGATTTTTATGAGGTAACATTTTTGTACTATGTACATACACACGGCCACACATCAACCTATACAAAACCAGTTTATCCTGGTGTCGCGTCGCATCATCTGTCCGCCACATTAAACGTTCAGTTTATACTGGTTATGTAAAGCTCGATGTGTAGCCGTGTGTACCAAAACCATTATGCTTACTTTTTTTTTAGAAAAAAAAACGTTGCCCCATGCTAGGATTTTCTCCTGTGTCGTGGGTGCGTTTACAGACATACAAGTCTACATACACATGAGACCCAGAACCGGAACAACAATCTGTGGATCACACAAACTTCACTTGTCTAGACAAATGACTATTGAAAAGAGTATATTTGCATACTCTGTGCCTTTAGTCAAACGCCACTGTAGCGCTTGTCTACCGAGAGAGTAGAAAACTAAATGTATGGGAATGACACTGACAAGTGCCAAAATTTACGTCAATTCCATATAATTTAGTTTTCTATTCTACAAGTAGACACGCTAAATAGCATTTGGCTACAGCAGCTGGATAGGTCTCAGTGAATTAAAGCTTTACTCAATTATTATGCTTTATGCAATAAGTCCCTACATTGTTTTTCTTATGTCAGACGCAAGCAGTACCACACAATTAACCCAATCTGTATATAGAGGATCTTTACCTTATTATACATTTTAACATCAAAAAGTTTTAGGTATAGGAAAACTTTATTTAGGTACGTATTATGTTACCATAACATTTAATTAATGAGAAGCAAATCTTTTGTATGGGAAATCCGACCACGAACATAAAAAACTTCTTCTATAGAGTATTATTCTACGTAACTCATATAAAAACATGATCTTATTGATGGTACTTATATTGCGTACTAAATTTTTTTTTCAATTAGAGTAAATAATATAGCATAGTTACACGCGGCTACACATTCAGCTTTACATAACCAGTATAAACTGAACTTTAAATGTGCGGAAAGATGATGCGACGCGACGCCAGGATAAACTGGTTTTGTATACATTGATGTGTGGCCGTGTGTACGTATATTATATCATTACTTGTTGTGAAATAAACTTCCCCGCCGTATCTGTCTGTCGTTTCTCAAATACTACTGAACGGATTTTAATGCGGCTTTCTTCAGGGGATAGACTGATTCTCCGAAATTTATATAGGTCTATGTAAAAGGCGATGAGTGTAAGTTACTTTATATTATATCGTTCAAAGTATTCAAAGTTTTGCTGTAATTTATAAGTATTTTAAAATGGATTCGAAAGCGTCTCACCCTATTAGTCTTCCTCTAAATCTGAGAAAATCTTTTTTTTCTTCTTTTTGCTTTTCTTACAGCTACTGCTATCTGTAGCAAATAAAATATTCGTTCAAATAATTGAATTGAAAAATATTAGACATTTTATATGAACTACTTTTTATAAGGCGTAATATCAGTCTACTGGGGAAAAAAAATGTCATGTCATCGATATAGTTACATGCATATTGCATGAAGATGTGGCTGGACGAGGCATGCTCCTCGCCTCAGAAGGGTTTGTCATAATGTGCACGGTTGACATGGAGTTCGCAGTATAAAAGTTTCATATTTATTTGAGAGTGCTTCTGTCTGGTCTCTGTTACATATTAAGTCTTAAAAACCCACGGTAAGAAGAAGCCTTCTTGAATAGTAACTTAGATAAAGTACTACAAAACTTAAGAGGCCAGTAGAATACCAGCGCAAGGCCCTGTCTTGCACATGCTGAACTGGTCCCATTTCACCGCAGACTTGGGACCTGAACATGTATCCATTAGTATCTACTAATAGAATGACAAATCTGTACATGTCACTTGCTGTATAGCGTGAATTAAAAAAAAAATATCTTCTTTCTTCTTCAACATAATGTTCAATTATGATATTTACCTGGGACACTGACCACTACGGTAGGGGCTCTGTTTACGCCATAACCAGCCATTTGGGTACCGTAAGGGACGCTCTGTGTTCCATAAGATGATCCTCTATATGCGGTGTTAGGAACTGAAAAAAGAAATACTAAGTAGGTAATATGGTAATATCAATCTATGCATTTATCGATTGCCCAATTGTTCAAGTAGTAAACACGGCATCGGAGCAAAGAATCGGTAGAAACATTCGGTATTTTTTAATCCTAATTTACACACACGTGTAATACCTAGTTTATCAATAGACTCAGGCCTATTATTACAGAAACTTGGAACATGACTGCTTTGAAACAAAAAAAATATAGAGACATAATTCCGAAGCATATGGACAAAGGTTCGTTTCCGCCGTCGGAATATCTTTTATGGAGTTATTCAAATTGCCAATTCTTAATAGCTAATTATAAACAGAAGCCTGATTAAGTATCCAAAAAAAATTTGTCGTAGGTAGTAAAAAATATTTGGTTGCCGACGTAATACGAATATTTTTAACGGTTTTTAAGGTAGCTAATGCCAAATTACTGCCTTCAAAACCTGATTACTAATTTATGTATTATAATTATGTGTTTCTGGAAAATTTGGACATAAATTGTTTTTTTATGTCTAACTGTCTCAGCGAACTTTGTACTCTCTCAGAATAAAATATCAATTATGGTTCATAATTGTCATGATCATTGGCAAATTGGGAAATATAGCATTCCGTCTTCAGTCTCCTGAATAAATTATGGGTACCGGTATGACTAGACACAAAAAATAATATCATAAATTCACTCTTTTAGGACGTGCAAATAGGTAAAACAAATAAACACGTTTTCGCATTTATAAGTGACATTTCTTCAGCAAAATAATTAAGGAGTCTTTCAAATGTACGGAATAATATATTGATGTTACACATATATGTATATTTGTATATTATTAGTTTTATTGTAATGAACGTCAGTGCCTTTAGCCAAAAGCCACTTTAGCGGTTTTCTACAGAGGGAGTAGAAATCAAAATGTATGGGGATGACACTGACAAGTGTCAAAATTTACGTCAATTCCATATATTTTGGTTTTCTATTCTACGTTTAGACAAGAGCTAAATGACTTTTGGCTACAGCTGCAGGTAGAAAAAATAACATTTACGACCATATTATTACGCATTTAAATACGTTCTTCATTTACTTTATACAAATTACACAGTCGACCATGACTGCAGGTCTGCAGCCAAAAACGGTTGTCGATGGTCAAAGATATCAATCAATGTAAATGTCGCTAAAAGTTCAGTTAATTTTCTTTTGTTTTATAATACGGTAGTCGATTTAATTCCATAAACTCGAATCTTACAATGGGTCAATATAAATTTATCTTTCGTATGCGTACTATTTCTGAAGAGTAAATAAATGGTATTTGATGCAGGTTACTGACATATAGGCAACTGAATTAAGTAGGGTACTTAATCGGAAAAGAAATCATTTGAGAAATTAAAAGTATATTTTCAAATGACGTCACATCTAAAGTTTTCCGATAGGACAGATAGATTTCAATCTACGTCAACTTTCATTTCATAACTCAATAATAAGTCTTATTGTGTACGCGGTGATATTATAATCAAATAGGCACTCTGTGTTGACAAAAGAAAATTTTAGATAAAACCTCAGTAATTTTTGGTCGTCAAAAATTCGTACTTGAGCTTTAAATTTGCCTAACGGCAACAAACTGGTCAAATATAGATGTAACTCAATTATTAATCTTTATTTACAAGAAATAATAGTAATATTTAATACTCAGTATTTACTTCTTAAGCAATCTTAAGATATACTAAAACGAATGGAAAAATTTAAATAAAGAACACTAAAAATTAATATACAACTACAGAGAGCATAAAAAAATTCGTACGCATCGACGTCAATTGATAAAGTACCCAGAAAGCTGGCAGCATTGCCACGTTGTATGGCAATGCTTAACCTCTAACCGAGGAACAGACCAGCCCTCTGGTCTCGAGATGCGTCTACCAGACCTTGTGAAATATTTTTAAATATAGTATGTAACCACATAATACTTTTATTTAAATTTAAACAATCTATGATCTTTCCTTACCCCCAGGCACGACCACCACACTTGGTTGAGCCACCGCCTGCGCATAGTTTTTGTGACCTGTAAATATTACACGAAGCTTTAATTACTTGGAAGAAACAAACGACTTAAAAATTCAAATTCGTGATTACGAGCGTTTTTTCAAAGTTTTTGAATTCAGATAAGGGGATTTTATATGTTAATTAATATGTAATTTAACGTCTGGTTCTAAGTAAATTGGTTTGTGCGGATTTTACGCTACGATGGCTAGATAGAGAAGTCATTAAGGTTGTTCTGAAGTATTTCCATATGTATACAAAATGCACATGTATCTTCCATCTCAAGTGTAGGAGAGCCATACTTCGGCAATTGGCCAGCTCGACTGGAGTGATACCACGGCCCCACAGAAACCCCCCCCCCCCAGTCTCCCCAATCCCCAAATCCCCCACAATCCTCAAATTCCCAATTCCCAAAAGGCCGATATCGCACTTGTAACGCCTCTGGTGTTTTGGGTGTTCATGGGCGCCATAGAAATATTAAAAAGGTTTATCAAAAAAATTGTACTAATGATATCTACTGATATGGATGCGGTTAATTTTGATGCACAGAGTGAGACATGACTTTGTATATAATTTTTATCGTGATACTTACCTACACATTAATTCGAAATGAATAAAACGTTTAAACTGATTTAATCGTGAACCATTTCTGAATAGAAACTAACACATTTACGTTACATATCTATGTATGTAGATTGGATATAATTATAACATGCACATTATAAAAATAAAAAATACAAACCTAGTAGTGGGCTCTGCCGTCTAAACCGGCTTGCAGAATGTCTGGCTGCATACTATAAAAAAGAAAACAGGTAACAATATTGCACAACATTGAATAGTATAAAATATTATAATGTATAAAAATATATTACCTGTTCATCTACCAGATCAGAATTTTGTTGCCAATTGTCTCTTAAACAATTTATACTTAAAACCACTAGTGAAAAAGTAAGAGCGTAAATATAAAATTGAGACGCCATCTTGAAAAAATGTCTTGTGTTATCTGTATTTTTTGCAATATGGCGCGAAATGCAACTGTCACCTGTTTTTATAATGTCAACAACAGATGGTATCGCAGATTTTAATAACTCGGTTTTCCTAATCACGTATATTAACAATTAAACTCATTCTTATGGGTGTTACGTCACCCGTGCGTACGGCGCGTCGCGTTCCGCGCGTGCCTCAAGGAGCCATCAGACCACCACAGATGGGGCCTAACTAGGCTGATGCCGATACGGAGCCGCGGAAGACTTAACGGGTTGCCGGGGCTCCGGTTCGAAGTGCAGGTGTAGGAACGGGGTGGTTTTTAGTCAGTAAGAGTCTGACACTCCCTCCCGCCTCACCCAGGCGGGAGAAGTCATTGGATGATTTTCCCCCCTCAAAAAAAAAACAAAAAAAAAAAAAAAAAAAAAAAAATGGGTGTTACGTCACAATTAAACAATCGTAGTCATACAATGTAATGGAATTTTCTGGATCCTTGTGAATGGAAATAAAAACACAATTTTAAATAACAACTGTATATTTAATCATCGTTTTGATCTAATAATATCTATAGGTAGTCTAAAATACTTTTTGTAAACATGTCCTAAATGTCGACATGACTCAAATGCAGAAATATCAAAGAATTGGAAAAAAACGGTTTTAAATTCATTCGAATTATTTTATGTAGGTTTCTTGAATCTCGTTTAAAATCGTATGTATGTAAAATATGCTAATAGAAAACTAGGTAGTAGTTTTTCCCAAAAGTGGAGTGCGTTTTGGCGTAAAAAGTTCTCATTATCATTTTTTATGGCATAAGCCGGTACTCTAGCAGACGGATCACCTGATGGTAAGCAATCGGCGTCGCCTATGGACACCTGGAACACGAGAGGCGTTACAAGTTCGTTACCGGCTTTTTGGGATTAGGAGTTTGAGGATCGTTGGGGATTCAGAAAGGGGAGGGTAATTAGGCCTCCGGTAACCTCACTCACACGACGAAACACAACGCAAGCGTTGCTTTACGTCGGTTTTCTGTGAGGTTTAAGTACAGTATTTTTCTATTTGCAATACAAACACGAATAATTCAATCAATCAATACAATAAATAGAATAAAAATTAAAAGGTAAATAAAACTGAATAGCAAAAAACGTTGCTACGCACTTGATACTTTTTTGTTGTTCTCAATGTTAGCAACCACACACAATCTTCAAATCAATTGTGGTGCTAGGTAAACTTGTTTTGGTTAAAAATACCAAGATTTATTTCATTAATAAATACTTCTTCATCACTTGTAATAAAGCGCTTATTTCCTCGTACTTTATTTATGAGGGTTTTACTCAAAATATGAGATGTGTTCCGGCAACAATTGCTCATCTATAGTTTTTTGTTGGCTATTAATATCTTTGCACGAAGTAGATCTTGCTTATTTTTCTACGGCGTCTCCGGAGTTGTTTTTGGTCTTCTAATTTCTGGGAATAAACAAATTCAATCATTACAATTATGGTAATAAGGTAGCTATTTGGTTTTATAACTGATTGGAGTGATCGGTTCTGTTAAGTCTTACGTTAGTATTGTATCTCATCGTACGAAGTATCTTAATCGAAAGTAAACCTTACATTATTAAACTTAAAACTTACTTTTACATAAACAGGCTGTTGTACAATATCCTTCATTTTGTCTTCACGTACACTTTTGTCTCCATCGCCAGCCAGCAACATTAGCACAGGAAAGTCTTTAGCCGTCTCATTAATTTCTGCTCTTGCGTTTCTATAAGGAGCTAAAACGGGCGAAACTAACACAACTCTTCCATCTTTGTTCAAATCACCTTTTACACATACAAAAGTAAATAATATTAAAAACTTTAGTACTAAACGATTATATCTCATCGTGTTGGAATATAAATGAGTACATGGTGTTCCAAGGAAGCTTTATATACGGACCTTCTTCATTAACATCACGACTTGCAAAATGATGGACATTACACTTGAATATATTTTGTTAGTCACGGAAAGATGAATGTATTGCAACTTGTTAACAACTAAGTTATATTATGTTTGAGTGATTTATTGCTGCAGTAGGATATGTAAAAACTTTTAGGAACTTTTGATTGCATTGGTATTATAAATTTATTCTTTTATTACAATGAAATATCCAAATTACTAGTCGATGTTATCTTAAAAGTGTTTGATTTTGCTATTGTTGTGGACGATAATATTGTTTATGTTTTAATATTGCTTGAATACCTATTCACCTACTCTTTTTTGAAGTCATTCAGAACAGTTTGAGTAGGTACTAGAATACCAATCGTTTCTAAATGTCGTTGAATGATTTCAAATCAATATAAATTAATACAGATAGTACTAATTGAAATAAATCTAGGTAGAAGACAGAAAGATTCAATTTGTATTTACGACCACAAAATTAATTATTATATTTTTCGGCTTACTAGATGCATGGCTTGAAACTAGGCGAGTTCCTCGTCAAATAATTACGTGAGTAAGCCGAAAAACATAATAATTAATTTAGTATGTCTCACGAAAGTTATAATAATCAAAGTCACTTAATTCATCAACAAAAGACTACAAAGAACAATCTTAGTTAAAGAGCTGAATAAATAGGTAAATAGTCAATCTAAGATCTTTATAGTAACATACTCACTCATTGTAATTTAAACAATGCACATATTCTATGAGCTCATCCACATCATATCAAACACAAATCGAAACAAATAAACATAGCCTCTATTGCTACGGAATAAAGATTAAGTTAAACGTCACTTACCTACAAGCAGACCTGTTGCTAAAGTACTATTATAAGTAATTACAAAATTGCGAAGATAAATAATGAAGTGCATATATAAGATACTTGTAGACTAAGTAAATTGTACGGTGAGTTTAAAATGCCTTTAAAAGGAGGTTTTATATAGGTAATTATGTTGCCTGTCTGTTATTGTTGAACCCTTTTAGAATAAAAACTTTTGTAATGTATGATAGGTACTTTAACATTGACAATGATAGGATCATGAACCTTAGTCGGAAGCATTTACTTAACTTTGCACTGCTAGTGTGTGCACACTAGCAGTGTAAAGTTAACATTTACACCATCCCATTGCGGTCATTCGTTACTTTTGTTCTCATTTATTTTCATCAATCCATCCATTTACACAGTAAAAAGTGCATTGTATTTTAGTTAGATCTTCAATAGAAAAGGGGTTAATCTCAATCAATCATTGCAGATGCTTTTACTCATACAGAAGTTCTGGAGCTAGGGCTAGGACTCATCCAGACCCACAGACCATAGAAAACCTGGGAGTCTTCAAGGCTCGAGACCATCGTAGACCGCATCATCGCTTACCACCAGGCGAGATAGTGGTCAAACGTCGCCCATCAAATATATAGGATAATAAAAATAAACCTTCTTTATATATATATGCACGTTACACCAACAATAATACTCTTAATCTTTTATTAAAGTAACATGAGAATGATTCATTTATTTATTAACTCGACCTTTTATATCGAACGTGACTCTTTTAAGGAATAAAACTGCTATAAATACTCAATACATTTTATTTCGTTTGTTATGATCCATCTCAGATTAACTTAACTCATCCGTCAGTCGTGATGTTCATCGCTTTTTTGTTCAGACTCGCCTTTTTTGTCCCTGCAATGATATCAAGATGTTAGCACAAAAAAATTATATTGAAAATACATAGGTAAATGATGGTTCATGGACTCAGCCTTGGCCTTACTTCTCGTAAAGTCATTGGTTGTGGTTATCTTCCTAATAGTACCTTCTGGTAGATGTTAGAAGCAGAGCAGGGTTGTTCTTTCATAAAAAAGCGTGACTGTCAATCTGTCAAGTAAGGGAGCTTGGTTTCCTGGTCGACGATAGTCAGTAGGTACTATTACTACTATTAAATTTGTATATCTCTCTAAAGTTATAATATAAACAGTAGATACTATTGGTATTTTGCAGTTTTTCTAAAAGCAACAAGACTCAAAGTGCGTGTAACATTTTATTACATATATGTAGGTATTATGCATCTTTTTTTAAGGGAGGAAAATCATCGAATGACTGCTCTCGCCTGGGTGAGGCGGGAGGGAGTGTCAGACTCTTACTGACTAAAAACCACCCCGTTCCTACTCCTGCACGTCGAGCCGGAGCCCCGGTTACCCGTTAGGTTCTCTGCGACATCTGCTTCTACTTACTATACGTATATTTTGAATAGAACATGACATCTGGTATTTCTACAGAAATAAAATATTTATTTTTTATATTTGATAGGCCAGCGTTTGACTACTATCTCGCCTGGTGCTATACGATGATGCGGCAATACATCATGCGACGATATCAATATGTTACGACGAGGTGGAGAGATTTTATTTTTTATTTTTATTTTCAGCCATAATCGTCCCTCCTTCCACTACTCTCTATGTAAAGCTTTTTGCGGCCAATCCTTATCATAGATGTCTAATTCGTCCCGCCATCTCCTTTTGGGCCTGCCGCAACGTACGACTACTACCTTATTATGATACGTCTAAGTAGGTAGTACCTATATGTAATATAATTACGTAAGTTTATTGTTGTGTCATATACCTACATGTAAGTTTATATATAGATTTATTTTATGTAAGTCTATACTATTCTTTTTTTATGTATTCCTTTTGGATATTTAGATCTTGAATAGGCTTGTTTTTGTCTCTGCATCACCCTAAGGTCTGGCTAGAGGAGAATGCCCATGGCATTAAGCCCATCTTGTACATTTAGTGTGTGCATGAAGTAGTAGTGTGTGCCTAATAAAATAAAATAAAAAGGCGTGATGTTATTTATCTTATGCCGACCGTAAAGTCTATATACATAAGTCCTTAGAAATGCATTTATTTTAATACTAGCTTTTACCCGCGGCTTCGCACGCATCACAAAAAGATAAAAAGCCTATGTGACATATGCTAGTACACATAGCGCCATCTGTACCAATAATTTCGTTTTCCCTCGAGAATACCAATATTCTTCCGGGAATAATAATAATTTTTCCGGGATAAAAAGTACCCTATTATTTAATCCAGACTTCTATATTTACGCCTGCAAAAATTCAAAGCAATCGGTTCAGTAGTTACGGCGTTAAAGCGGAACAAACAAACAAACTCACTTTCCGATTTATAATATTAGTAAGGATGGATGGAAGGTGTTTTTAATTATACATCGAGTTCGTTAGTGCTGCTATCTAGTGTTTGCTATTATTTCACGCTCTTTACTGAGGTCGAGGTTATCTAACATTTGATTTCCGAATAGAATTTGTTATTGTTTATTGTTTTACCTCTACAAGTACAAGGTCATTCAAACTACACGAATATGATAATGAGAATAATAATATTAAGTTTTTACGCACTTTTTTTAATGGGACAAGCCCGCCACAACCTCCCAAAACCGCTGCTACTCCTGTAAGCCAGGATCTACAGTAGATACAACCATGAAAACACCGGAACATTGAAGTCCGGCGCGTCCCAGGGACATGAGTAACTGTCTTGGGTCCCGCGACGAAGTGAATCAGAAGATAATATTATAAGACGAGAAGAAGAAAAAAGCTATAGTTTCCACTTCCCTCGGTGAATTACTGCAGGAGACAGAATGAATTAAGCCTAAAGGCTTTTTACGCACTTATGTCTCAATTTTGGACTTGAAATGTTATAGAGGTCAAAAGAGCACTATGTTATGTAGCTTCTAGATGAATAGTTCTAGACTTTTCCTGTTAATAAACCTGTTTGGTGACTATGCCGTGTGTTTCAAAGTTTTATTCTGCTTTATAAATAAACAACTTTTTTTAGTGAACATACTTAATCCGGTTGCTTTGCGTGCGTCTGTTGTTATTTGAAGGGTTGAGTCGACAGACGTGTTATCTGTTGCCATACTTATATCGTAAACTAACTAACTTTTAATATCACTGATTGAACATCAAGTAAAATTCCATAATCCTTGTACAAAGTACAGTAGATCAGATTCCTTTCATCTCCTTTCTTTCCTGAAGGGTGTCTTCAAGGCCCAAGTGAATAGGTTGCCTATGGTATGACGTGCTCCAGGGTATATAACCTGGGTGTCTTCAAGGCCCAAATGAATAGGTTGCCTATGTGATGTGCTTCATCGTAAACCGTATCATCGCTTACCTACCACCAGACGAGATAGTGGTCAAACGTCAGCCCGTTAAATATAATTATATAAAAAATCTCGATTTGCAGGTACAAAGTTTAAGTTGTCTGTGTTGTCAAGCTTGAAGCAGTTATTGGTAAAAAGGCGTGAATAGATACAGAAGAGAGTTAAATAAATATTGGAATAATGTTCTAACATGTCTTCACCCCATTCGAGTATCTATTCGCCCTATACAGCACAAACACGTTATACTTAAAAACCTCACAGTATGCGTCTGAGACTTAAAATCCACTAAAACATGTCTAGTTAAAAATACGACCCTGTTTTAAATTAGTTAAAATGAATTGTTACTCACGTTTAATTCCAAGTACTTCGATTCTCCACTCAAGGCCTCATCTTCAGGTACGAAGTAGACGCCATCAGGTAAGATGCCGACATGAGTATCCACTTTAGTCAGTTGCACTTTTCCCTTCGGAGTATAACCACGTAACAAATCAACTAGTTCCACATCAGATAGCTGATATGTCGAAGATTCCTTAGCGACAATAAATTGAGTAAAAACACTCAAAATGAACAAAGTTACGATTGTAAACCACTGCATCGCTGCTAGGTTGTGCCTCAAGGATAATATGAACGCTAATGTTTTTTTAATATTTCGACTTGTCGTATTTATAGGGCTGCCTTTATGCTTTAGCTTAGTTATAGTGATTAAGTAATGTAGATATTTAGTATAGATATTATTTTATGTTGAACACTCAAACGGTACTCAATTATTTTACTTGAAATGTTTCTTTCGCTGTCTTTGTATGAGTAATCTAGTTTAAAAGTGTTGTAACCCTAGAACTTATACTGAAGACTGATATTCCCCAAAGGGGTAAACAGAGATGCCATATAAATCCAAGGTTTCTTCAATTCATCATAATCAGTCCGTGAAATGACCGATACTCCACTAGACAATAGGACATCTGTACATAATAAGAGTTACCCTAATTTTTAGGGTTTGCAAATCTGCTTACCCCTTTGAGAGTAAACGTGATGTTAAAATACTTTAAAGAAATGCCCCATTTTTGTCTACGTTTGCAGATTATGTTATCAATGTTTTTTGTTTATTACGAGTGACACAAAAAAAAAATTAATGTAAGTTGGGTTATATGGCGTTTCAGTATACGGACTTAAATTTTGATTAATGGATACCATTACGTAATAATACCTCTACATACCCATTACAACCATGGGAATTGACGAATTACCTACTTTGCGTTTTAGCAGTGTGATTAAGTATTACGTCACAATTATGTGTTTTAATTATTTTGTAAACAGTCGAGAACATTGTTTTTAAGAAGATGGCAGTTCATACTTTAAGTACAATTTATTTATTACGAACAATCTCGAATTATTTTGGGGCCTCTATAAAAGTGTTTAGAGTAAAATACATTTTCCGACTTTCAGTATGTCTTTCTATAACTGCTTCTTAGAAATTTGAGATATCTCTTTTTAAGGTCCAATTCTCCTCCATTTCGTTTCCCCACATCACCAATTTCCTAATCCCTAAAAGGCCGGCAGTGAACTTATGTTGCTTACCATCAGGTGATCAGTCCGCTTGTTTTGTATTTGATTAAAAAAAAACGTTGCCCCACACAAGTATTTGCTCCTGTGTCGTGGGTGGACACCCAGACCTATAAAAATAATCTAAGGATCACACGAAGAGTTGTTCCGTTCGAGAATCGAACCCGCGACACGTTGTGTAGCAGCCAGTAGCCCAACAACCACGCCAACCGTGCAGTCGGCAGTGTTTATCGGCCTATGCCATAAAAAAGGACTCAGTAATACACTCCTTTAAAATAGGTTTAACATAGGACGGTGCTGTCAGCCATCAGTATGAACGGAAGAGTTTTAATGATTAACCTGCACAGAGATCATCACATGCATAAAGTAAGATGTCATTGTATCATACAAACAAGACCAAAGTCTTCAAGATTACTCATGTAACAACTCTTCAATTAGCAATCACTATTAAACTAATCACCATTACAACATGAACCCACACATCAAAGATTACACAAGAAATGTGAGGTCTTATTAAGTTGGTTCGTATAATTAGATGAAACATCGTTTATGGGAAATAAAACGGCAATAACTTGATACGTTTATTATGTTGAACATATAACTTAGCGGTTTGGCTGGTCACCGGGGAATTCTCCATGATCAAGATGCGAGACAAAAGAGCAGCTACGTGTTCATTCTGCCTTTGTTGTTACTATTTCATAGGGTTGTCACTCAATATTATTTTTATTAATATAACGTTAATAATAATATTTATCCATAGTTCCCAATTTTCCAGCCCACAGCAACCCATCCATAGCCCTATCTACCTTTTTTTCCATTATCCACAATAGTTCTACACTAACCGGGGACTGTCCTTGGGTGCATTTCCTTAGTGCATACAGGATAGTCGCCGGTTTGTGTGTCCATTACATTTATATTAAAGTTGTCTAAAGGGCCTCTGCGCAGAATTGGCTTCGGCCCCTCGTAGGCCTCCCAAACGACCGGGACCCTGTGGTCCCGTGAATGGTAAAGACATACATAATAATATTCACACAGATAATGTTCTTCGAAATTATCCCTTGCGATAGGTGCACTTATAAAATATGTGTGTATTACCTAAAATTCAAGCTACTATTTTTTTTGCGGTAGGTATTTAAGTTTCAGTAAATTCTAACAATATTTTGTCTCCATAAGTGGATCAAGTCCTCCTGGAGAGTTATCGATTGCTTGGCAGTTGTGTTGAAAGCATTTTGAGAGATGATAGTTATAATATTTAGTCATATAAATATAAACATATTTGATTTGAGTATTAAAAGAAATTTTTATTCTACAATTTAATCATAATTTAAATTTCGAAATTAATGTGACTTTCAGTTAAACCTAACTAATTAGTATAATTACCGTGATATGAAGAAATCATTGTTGCAATTTAATTTATAATTAATTTGATAAGCATTGTTATCAGTAAACTAATTAGGTAAACCTATTAAAATCATTATTAATTTCACATGCTTTCTTCATCGGATATACATTAACATGATATGATATAGCTATCTCGACGAGTATTTTAAATGCAAAAGTTATTTTTCTTGTGGTTTTTAGTGTGTAAACAGATTTGAGTACAGAAAATAATAAACAACATAATAATAATAAAAGTGAGTAATGCGAGAGCCAGCAGGCTACCTTGTGACAACCCTATGAAAACTGACCAATACGAGTAATAATACACTATACACATAGATTACAACTTGTAATATAATTTGTCAGATAAGTATACATTTGTCATCATTATATTACCTACTTTTTGCAGTATTATACAATGAAATGGATTTTTTATACAAACTGAGGTGAATCCCAAGATATCTCCATGAAAAAGAAACATGAATTAATAACAGGAGTGACGTCATAATTGCTTTGTTATTAGAGTTATGACAACTGTGTAAGTAGGTACCAATGAGGACTTTTTAGACAGTACCTACAATCGAATTAATTAATTTATTCTGAATTACATTAAGAATCGTGCGATTATACATAGGTAAATAAATATTTGGTCACAAAGTGGTGGAAAGTAATTTATTTACATGGTTCCTATTTAGAGATTATCTAATCACTACTATTTTTAAAATGGTGCCGATACAAACACACACACAGACCTATAAACGTGCATGCAAAGAACAGACAAAAATCCAGAATATAGTTGAAACGCATTCCATCATGATATCTTTAAAATACTACTTCTGTATAATTATTTCTGTATTATGTAATTGCATATGAATTAATTAAAATGTAAATATAATTTAATTATATTTAAAGCTATAGATTAAGCTTAGTATCTAAGGAGTCGATTTTGTGTTGAGTGATTCATGGTTCGTACTGCGTGTACTCCGTCTGGAACAAAAAGATATGGCGTAAGTCTTAATTAAAATAATAACATAACATAACATCACGTCTTTTATCCCCGAAGCGGTAGGCAGAGGTGCACATTATACCACTGTACAATGTAACACCCACTTTTCACTATTTATGTTAAGAGTCCCATGTAATAGGGAGTGAGCCTATTGCCATGTACCGGGCACAATTCCAGACTTCGTGCTACTACTGAGCTTTTTTTTAAAACCCAGTAATACTTTGCCCGACCCGGGAATCGAACCCGAGACCCCCCTTGCCCGGCAGTCGCACTTGCAACCACTCGGCCAACGAGGCAGTCTATAAATATATAAAACTTAAAAAAAAAAACAATAAAAATATAAAATAATAAATAGCATTTAAAACCTTAAATGCCATTATCTGATAACCAATAGATAATGCTGGTAAGGGGATCTTTTTTTAAGGGGGGAAAATCATCGAATGACTGCTCCCGCCTGGGTGAGGCGGAAGGAATTGTCAGACTCTTACTGACTAAAAACCACCCCTTTCTTTCTCCTGCACGACGAGCCGGAGCCCCGGTTACCCGTTAGGTTCACGATGCCGATTTAAAGTTAATTGCTGAGTTGAAGTTGGGTTGGAGCGGTGCCACTTAAGTGTAATATGACCTTAATATTTAAACCCAAACTGTGGTTCCCTCCCACCACTCGATCAATGACGTACCGATTATTAAAAAAAAGATTTGCATTACGTCATCGTTTCTTAAATAGCAACCCTAGACATAATTAAGCAACGATGTCCGACATTGTGCCTAATGAGGTGAAGTCGCTTGCAAACATTTTAGATACACAAAACCACACTTGTATCATTAATCAAGGATTTAAATGTCCATTGCGGTTTTTGTTTACAAATATTAAAATGATATTAGTTGAAAACAAGCATTGTAAAAGGTCATTGAATTAAATTTAGATCAGATCGCTGCTTCTGATGCATTTGAATGCATTTAAGGAGATTTGTGTGAGATTTATGTCTATTATATGCAAAGTTGACGTCATGATTTAGATTTTACATGTCAGATTATATTATAAGAAGACGTGTAATATTTCATCATAACATTAGCATAGTAAGTAGTGGCACTGGTTATTACTTGAAGACTCCAAGAAGACAGAACAGATAGTTAAACTCTAAATAAAATAAATTCGTCATAATCTACTATATAAAAATAAGTCGGGTTTTCCTTCCTGACGCTATAACTCCAGAACGCACGAACCGATTTCCATGGTTTTGCATTCCTTGGAAAGGTCTCGGACTCCGTGAGGTTTATAGCAAAGAATGTTACATAAAACGAAGCCATCTGGTGGTGAAACGGAGTTCACCGGGTTAGCTAGTTCTGTATAGATTTGGTTTTAAAAGGTCTGTCCGTGACTTCAAAATATCTGTATTTTTAATACCATAAGTTTAAGGGGATCTGAATTAGATCGTAACAAGCACAGTAAACAGTATCCAGTTAGAATAAGTGTGGGAGGCCATCTTTCGGAACGAATGGGCTGGCTCGACCGGAGTGATACCACTGCCTATGCTTACGTTGTTTTCCGTCCCCCCTCTCCCATTTCCCAATCTCTCCAATCCCTGAATCCCTAACAATCTTTAAATTCCTAATCCCCAAAAGGCAGGTAACGCACTATTAACGCCTCTGGTGTTCCAGGTGTCCATGGACAACGCCAATTGCTGACCATCAGATAATCCGTCTGCTCGTTTACCGGCTAAATCCCATAAAAAAAATAGAATATTTCAAACGAAGTCATAGACACAACTATATAGTTTATATACAAGGATGAATATCGAATGATGATTTTCACTCTTTCTAATTGAAGAACTTGTTTTTGACATTATGTAGCGATAACTTCACCTATTGTGCAAGGATGCGATCACAAAATAACACCAGTATTCACAATCGATATGAAGTATCGAAATAAAGTAGCAACACTATGCAAAGATAAATATTTCTTAATGTTTTCCGAAAGACCAGTCGTATACATAGCAACAGTCTTTATTACTATTATGAAGTTATTTTTGTTATGCTTTCATACCAAACATTAACACTAAGAGGGTACTTTACCATATATACTTTACTATAACACTATTATGTATTTATCTTTAACTAGCTACTTTCCTTATTAGCGTGGCTTATTGATAGGAGCATGATGTTTTATAAATAAATGGACTATCTATCATTTTTTTTTAATCGGACCAGCTCTTCCTGACTTTAGCGCGTCCAAACCAACAAACTCTTTGGCTTTATAAATAAGTATAAAATTTGATGATTAAGATGTTCGATCTCCAATAGCCTTGGCTAACCAGATCTTGTAAATAGGTACAAACATACTCATCAAACTTTATATAAAGGACTTTGATTATTTTACATAAATTATCTTACTTTGCATACTAATGTATGTATTTGAAGTAAATAGTCTAGTTTTCGGTGAATTTAAAATTTAAATTTGAACTCAATTATGTCAGCTTAGAGTTGGATTTCCAATGAAACTAGCAGATTTGATTATCAGCTTGTTTGATGGTAGTCTCGGTTTTATTTGTCTATTTGCGACCATATTTGAGGATTAAACTAGGAAATTGCAGCCGTGCGAAGTCAGGTGTGTCACTAGTTTTATAAATATTGTGTAAATTGCTTATCAATATATATAAATAAAAAATTCCGTTCGTTAGTCTTGCTAAAACTCGAGAACTGCTGAACCGATTTGGCGAATATTGGTCTTGTTCGTGGATGTCCAGGAAAGGATTAAAAGGTGAGAAACAAAATTTTTGGCGGGATGAAAATTACCTGATCAGCTAGCTCAATATATAGTCGTTGATGATTCTCTTAAAGATGTGCGTACAATCTACATGTCTATCAAAATGTATAACAGGTATTAATGGGCATTTGGAAAAACCACGCTTTGAAGCAATGATCAAATTCAACCTCAAAGGGTAGACGACTAATTTTTATTTTAATGTCCGTCTGATAGATTATTTAAAAACATTAGACACGTATTTTTTATTTTCTCACAGAAACGAATAGTTTCGAAGATATATTGATTTGAAATGTCGCGTGACGTCACTTCTCAGTACATTTTATACTAAGAAATGACGTTTTAGCCCCCACTCCTAAACTTTGATTCGTTTTATCTAAATATTGTTTTATTATACGACAAAATAAAAAAATACGTGTCTAATATTTTTTCATTACCTAACTTACGGACTAATTATATTTTTAATTTTCATACCCTGTCATCATCCCCATTGTCGAATTAATATTAACATCACCCTTAGTAACCAGGCCATAGAGAATGGATCATAGCTTTTTTTAGAATGAGGTCCATAGACCAGAAGTTGCCTTTAAAGGTTAGTTTTTGATGTTGATGAATATCTGGAAAGAAATTAGTAGGAACTCTTCTAAGTAATTAAGCCACGGAACATTTACTTAAAGGGTTAATATATAGGTATAGTTATAGGTCTAAGTAATAGTTATAAATTTCAGCTGACATTAAATTTTGTAACGTTTGAAATTGCTGCGCCCTAACAGGGTAATGTACTGAATTAGTTGTATGTAATACTTCCTATTATATGTACATTGTGCAATATGAATAAATAAATAAATAATTGGGTTGCCGTGGGTCAAAGACCAGGAGTAGAAACGGGGTGGTTTTGAGTCAGTAAAAGTCTGACACTCCCTCCCGCCTCACCCAAGACGTGAGAAATCATTGGATGATTTCCCCCCCTTAAAAAGCTAAGTAATTATTGTTGGCTAAGTAATTATTATAGAATAGGAACATAAATTGAATGTCATTCTATGTCCCATTAGTATTATCACTAAAGTTCAATGTGTAAACACGTCACCAGTAGAATGTGTAATCACGTAAACATTATTATTGCAACATCAAATTGCATTGGATGCCATTTGATTTCAATGAATATGTCAGACGGTTGCAAAAAACTTTGATTAAAAAGTTACCATTTGCAATCTTGCTTATAAAATAAGACAAGTACTTGAGAAGATTTTTTCGTCTCTTCAATGCTTTTTCGTCTCTTCAATGCCTTTGGTCCACCGTTTATAACTATACTTTTAATAAAAAAAATACCGGTTGAATTGAAAACCTCCTTTTTAGCAAATCTGATAATTAGTTAAAGGATATACTACAACACATTTTGACATTTGATATTAATAGGGATGTTATGGGCAGAGAAAAAAGCGTCGTATGTACTGAGGGGTCGTTCCTCGCGCATTGAAATTGTTTGTGTGATCCACAAATTGCTCCAAATGAAAGTCAAAGCATTTATTCCAATTAAACCATAATCAGGTACTTTTGAAACGTCAAATACAAAATAAATAATAGTCTGTCAGTTAGTCCGTCAGTGAAGCTAGGTGCTCATTCCAAATTGTTGATTCGAATGGAGCAGAACGTTCAATAAACTCCATTCGATACTCTTTTTAAAAAAGTCTGTTTTCCAATGTCTCTGATACAATTATGTTGTTCTGAGTCTGGTTGTCATGTGTATGTGAAATTATCGTGTTTGTTTACGCACTCACGACACAGGAGAAAATTCTGGTGTGGTGCATTTAGAATAAAGTTAGTTATAAGCAGAAAAATAAAGATTGACTCAGTATAGAGGCAGTAGCTATTAATACATTAAGGATTGATTTACAGCCAGATAAACTTCTTTACAGTAATAATTTAGAATATTTGACAATTCTTCCATACTAAAAACTGTCAGATGTCAATTTATTACGATTACAGTCATAACATAAATTATATAGTTTCTAACCAAGCTATGTCATCTGAAACCATTGGCGGGTTCAATAGCCAATCAATGGTTACTGTCTCTGTTCTGAATCAATATTTATTTTCAAACCTGCATACTAAATACGTTGCTTATGGGACAACGTGCTCCATCGTAGACCGCATCATCACTTACCACCAGGCGAGATAGTGGTCAAACGTCGGCCCATCAAATATACACATATATAAAAAATAGCTGTGCTCACTGTACGTAACACTGAAAACGAACCTTCGGTGGTAACAGATCAGATGACGGCACGCTGACATCCTGAGTAGACAAGAAGGGAGTGACACTCGTCGGCTTAATGTTTAATTTGTTAGGAATATTATCAGCCGTTGTGGTGATCCTATTGAACGACGATGTTACTACAGGAGTAGGCTTTACGCGATTATTGAAGTCAATATTCAGTACGGGCAACGGCGCCGGCGCACGCACAGTAGTCGGTGCAGGCGCATCGGGCAAGGGAAACACTCTCCACCCACTCACAACACAAATTACACAGACTAAAAAAACGATATTAATCTTCAACATGATTATTGATTACAGGTAGCAAACAAGAGATCGCGACGACTGTTTAGATTAGAATGGATGTCGTGTATAATAATTTATGACGATTTTAGCACTCCAGAAGTGTTTGTATTAACATAAATTCTTTAGTAAGAGTGGATCACCCTGAAACAAGAACGGTCGTCGAGACCTATACACCTACGTAAAGATGAGCGGAAGATGGTTATACCACTGTTTATAAATGGTACTCTTTATACATGGTATTCAAAAGAAACCGCAAAAAGCAAATATGGGTGGAATTTGATGTACTTGAATAGACGTATGTGCGTATATTTATTGGCTGACATAACTCGTATCGCTCTAGTCTTTGGAATGATATTGATAAACAACTTTGTTCTGGGTTTTCCTTAAAGGAGCAGGAAGTAGTTAGATAATAATTAATACCTGCATGGTTTAAGAGATAATATTAATTCTGTCCAAGTCTTGATAATCGGAGATCAAGCTTTTTATTCCTTAATAGCTTCTAGTAACGGTTTCGCATGCAGTGTCGTGGGATAAAGACTAGCTTATATGTAACTAGCTTTTACCCGCGGCTTCGCTCGCGTCACAAAAGGATAAAAAGTAGCCTATGTGACATATACCAATACACACAGCGCTATCTATACCAATGATTTCGTTTTCCCTCGAGAATATCAAATTTTTCCGGGATAAAAAGTACCCTATTATTTAATCCAGACTTATAACTTTACGTCTGCAAAAATTCAAAGCAATTGGTTAAGTAGTTACGGCGCGAAAGTGGAACAAACAAACAAACTCACTTTCCTATTTATAATATTAGTAAGATTCCAGACCATAATCTACCCCTATTCCAATTTTGATCGCGATCACTTCAGCTGTTTTATCGTGAAGGAGTAAGAAACAAATAATTACAAATATTCGCATTCCCCTATCTTTCACTAAATTCACTAAAGATAAAGTTATGAATGTCATGTACCTAGTAGACGACTACCCTATTATCTCTCATTGAGCACAAATCTACACGTTGAGCTACTATTAAAAAGTTTCCTGATAAACACACAGTAGAGATACGTAGTAACGTAGTCAAAGTTTTTTAACTAGCCCCCAATATAAACCAAAAATCAATAAAGTCGTACAAGTCAGAGAGAAAAACATAGTTACCTTACAAGTCCGTTTTTTAAATATATCCTGGTCAATTTAATGCATTGAAACTATCATAAATAGTATATTCAATAAATAATGAAATAAACACTGTGATGAACAAATCCACATCCACATATACGACTGTTTACCAAACACGGGCTAATCAGTCTGAAAATAATTAATGACCTATTTATAGATAACTTCTGTCTTATATATCGATATATTTACTCTCTTATATAAGGGAGTAAATAAAATAAGTAAATGATACGTCAGAGAACATAGTTATAGTTACATTCCTCAAAGACTGAAGAGATAGAAGAGGTATCTTTGGCATCGAACATTCCTCTTTTGACTTGAAAGCTTTAAACAAATATTAGAGCACATAATTTATGGGCACCATGGTTTATAGCTTTTTTAAGGAATTGATTCCATAGTCCCACTTGGTCCCACTAATCTTGACGCTGTATTGTCGTTACATCATTCTCATAAATACAATTAAACAATAGGTATTGAGCTGAATAATGAGATAATAATATGATTTCAAAAAACATTTTGTTTTTTAGACTAACGATGCAGTTTCTTGCTCGTTCTTCTCCATTCGAAATTACACTTTGGAACACGCACCTACTTTCACTGACAGACAGACTGACGGACTATTCAATGTTGAGGTTTCAAAAGTAACCTAATTAAAGATAACTTACGAAGGATTACGACTTTGACTTTGCACAAAACTATCGCATCTAAGCGCAAAAATATTGGGTGGTTCAAACTATGTTACAGCACTGTCAGTAAGAATTCGGCATTGGGATTTTACGAAGCCCAAAAACGAACTGATACAAGATATTTCTAGTGTCTGACCAGCATATACATATACATATAGGTATGAGAACCGAGTATGTAGCAGTTATTCAAAACAGTTACCATACGAAGGTTAAACAAATATATTGTGAATTAGCGAGTGACACTTCACCATGGGTTTTACGTAATACTAACTGAATTATTTGTTCTGCTGATGCCAATAGCAGTGCGGTCAACCGCAGTCATTACATTGTAATAAACAAAAACTACCCTTATGGCTTATGAAATAGAGATTATGAGAAGGTTACAGTTAATGATATTCGTGGTTCAAAAGCTTAATTGGTTGAGAGTGCAAGTGTATGTCAATGTCGAGAAAAGAGCCTTGGAAACAATGTATTTGTTGGGCCAGGAAAAAATGTATATATTTAAACACTTAACCTCATGCCTATCTCTCATAGGGGTAAGCAAAGACGCCAATTGCTACAAATCATGCCAAGAAAATGCTTTAGAATTAATGATTTATCGATATTTGTTGGTAACATGGCAACTGTCTGATGCACTAAAAATTCTTAATTATCGAAAATTCTTCATGAGCTCCTAGAAAATGTACCATTTACAATTATTGAAAAGGATAAAATCACTACATAGTATAAAATAAAGTCACTATCCACCGTCTGTCTGTCTTTATGCATGCTCCGATTTTTAAAACTATGCAACGGATTTTAATGCTGTTTAATAGATAGAATGATTCTTAAGGAAGGTTTATATGTATAATACATGCATATTGCACCCATGCGAAGCCGGGGCGGGTCGATAGTATACGATAAATATACATAATAAAATGAGACTCACCGAAAATTACTGACGATCGTAAAATTTACGTATTCCTGAAGCTGTTAACAAAGAATGGGGAAATGTCACGTTGTCCAGATAAGGAAATGGCATATCTTTGAGTACTTCCGAAGGTACACTCAGGATGCACTCCAAAAATAATATTACCAACAAAGGGATCAGAAAAAACTTCATGGTTGATGGCCCGACAATTTTCTATTCACTGAACACACAGCAGCAATGTATGTAAATTTAAGATATCAGTCACGTTGAAACTTAGCATTCTTGACCCCAGAGATTATGACACATGTGATTTTAAAACATAATAATATCTTGAACACTTATTATAAGAATAAAAGATCTAGTTCCGGGACTAATGTGATATATGGTTACATGTATTAAACTAGAACTAAATCTCCCGATCCCGATCGATTTCGGTCATGGGGGCAAGACTGATTAGCCTAGTGAGTCTAAGGGCTAATCTAGTGAGATTAGCCCACTACTTAAGAAATATTATAGTGCATGTACGAGCTACGCTGTACAGTGTATGTGCTACTTAATCAACCCACTTTCAATAAAACGTTGCAGTTTAGTTAAGGCAATAATTATTACATTTTAACATTTTACATTTAGTAGCTATTAAACCTTTATACCGATCGGTTGTCTACTCATTCAACATAACATTCAACATCTTCATGACATTTTCACTGTTGGGAATTAAGTCCCAACAGTGCACAAGTATGTGCACAAACACAAGTCCACTCTCTATTCCTTAACTCTCTGAACTCTAAGGGACGGCAGACCGACACAACCGAAGAGAGATCAGGCACAGGACCAGCGGCTTTACGTGCTTCCCGAGCCACGAAACTCCGAACTTCCTGACTCTGGAGTCAGGAAGTTCGGCAGCTGAAGATTTAACGGGTTGCCGGGCTCCGGCTCGAAGTGCAGGAGTAGGAACGGGGTGGTATTTAGTCAGTAAGAGTCTGACACTCCCTCTCGTATCTTTTACTCTGATTATGCCATGATCTTTTTTTTGGTTGGCGCGGGAATAAAACCCGCTACACGTTGTACAGCAGAGGGTTGCCCAACTACTGCGCCAACCGTGCAGTCAAAGTAGAAATGTTTAATACATTTCTACTTTTTACCTAATATAGCCTTTTCGACATCTCCCATCAGTTCGATGCCATCGTTCTCATCGTACTATTTACCATTGTTTCCCGTTAATCTTTTACGACGAAAACTAACCGCAGAGATCCAAAAGTTACCCATCTTTATGACGATGTCATCGGTCTAAGTAACCTGCCCAAGGCTGCTTATACTAAGTTTTATGGTCGGTAGTCTCCACTCCATCACTTTTCTACCTCTTCAAACATTTATATGAGCAATGCCACTTTCCCATTCCCCAACCATTTTGTAGATTAAGTATAAAATAGATGTCCATAACTTTGGCCCTTCAGCGAAAGTCTTGTAAGTTTGCTTTTTTCTTCATCCACAATAATTTCACCCACTTCAGGTTCTGTATATCTCACAACATTTACCAAAATGATATCACATTCTCTTTCATACACACTTCTTTCATAATGGATCATGAAACCAAAAAAAAATTCACCATTCTTAGTCCTCAAGTTCTGAATGGACAATTGAAATATGTTTTCTTGTATGTTTTTCAAAAAAGATAACTGCATTATGTCAACTCTACTTGTATAGCTCGCCAACGCATACAGCTACACTCTACAGTTGCAATATTATAAAGTAAGAATCATAATAATAAGGTAATGAATGGCAATGCTGATTATTACTGATGACTATGAATCCCAAAATAACAGTTATAATTCAATCACCAAAATTGCAGACATAATTTTTTGTCTCCCCTTTAGTATTCACCAAGCGTCACAATAATAAAGATCATTTATAATCAAAAAGGTTTGGACTGAGACCAAAGTTCTGAGTCATGGGAGATGCCCACCATGCTATTATGACGTACCTTCTTTGTTCCTATTCAAATTACGTGTGTAACATTTCATGTAAGTATTTGTGATCGTTTCAATTCAATTCGACTACTGGAAAATCCTTGGTAAATTTGGTCAACTAATTTTGTATCCGTATTCCATGAATATCAATTATACTATTATCGATTTGTTACTATACTCGGAATTTTAATTCGATTCCAGATTTGACAATTTCAGTGTGGCAACGTTATGACAAG